CAGCAGCAGAGTGAGAGGTGTATGTGGGGTGGAGCCCCGTGCCCCCCTCTGTTCTTCGCTGGAGTATGTAAGGGCTGCTTTGTTCCTGCTGCTGCTGCTGCTGCTGCAGTAACTGCTGCCGTAGCTGCTGCTGCTGCTGCTGCTGCTGTTGCTGCTGCTGCTGCTGCTGCAGCTGAGCTGAGATGGTTAGAGGGAAGTTCGGGTGTACAGACACCCCAAAATCTGAATCGAAGATTTGCTGCCGAGGCCACTGCCGCTCAGGCCCAACCGGCAGCAGCACTTGCTGCTGCTGCTGCTGCTGCTGCTGTTGCTGCTGTAGCCGCTGCTGTAGCTGCTGCTGCTGCTGCTGTAGCTGCTGCTGCTGTAGCTGCTGCTGCTGCAGCTGGTGCTGCGCAAAGGCGCTTCGAGACTCCCCAGAAACAGTGAGGACTGGGAACTGCTGCAGCTGCTGCTGCTGTTGCTGCTGCTGCTGCTGCTGCTGCTGCTGCTGCTGCTGCAGCTGCAGCAAGGATCTGAGCCGTTCCTGTAGCTGAGACTCCTGTTCAAATTGCTGCTGCTGTCGCTGCCGCTGCTGCCGTTGCTGCTGCTGCTGCTGCTGCTGCTGCTGCTGCTCCCTAAGTGCTTCAAGCTGCTGGAGACGACGGCTCCTTCGGACCCCCGGGGGTGTCACTGTTGCTGCCTCCTCAGTGTTCTGCTGCAGCTGCTGCTGCAGCTGCTGCTGCTGCAGCTGCTGCTGCTGCAGTTGCTGCTGCTGCAGTTGCTGCTGCATAGTTCGAGGATAATGGCCTCCAGGGCTGCTAGTGAATGAGGATGCTACTGCTGCTTCTTCTGCTGCAGCAGCAGCAGCAACTGCAGCAGCAGCAGCTGCCGCTGCCCCTGATAGGGAAGACATCCTGGCTTGCCTGCTGCTGCTGCTGCTGCTTCTGTTGCTGCTGCTGCTGCTGCTGCATTTGGTGAACGAACTCCTGCTGCATCTCAGCCCCTTTCAGGTGTCTATATGCAGCGGAGACAAGACCGAGGCAGCAAGCTGCTGCTGCTGCTGCTGCTGTCGCTGCTGCTGCTGCTTTCCTAGCCGCTGCTGCTGCTGCTGCTGCTGTTTCTTTCTGAGGATATAATAGAGAAAAACTAAAAAAGAAGAAAGAGATGAGATAAAGGAGCGAAGCAGAAAGTGAGTTGGCTCAAGTGTATGGGGGCCCCCGGGGCCCCTAGTGCAGCAGCAGCAGCAGCAGCAGCAGCTCAGCAGCGGCAGCAGCAATGAGCGGATGACACTGAAAAATTAAAAAGAAAATAAAAGAAAGCATCTACCTGCTGCTGATGTTGCTGCTGCTGCTGCTTTTCCTGCTGCTGCTGCTGCTGCTGCTGCTGCTGTTCTGCCGGTGGTCGCCTT